TCTCTGTTCTAGATGATACTTTAGGCCAGGGGTGGGGAACCTGCAGCCTCGAGGCCACATCCTTCTAGATCCTTGGGTGTGGCCCTTTGACAGAATCCAAGTTTTACAGAACAAATCTTTTTATTAAGGGGATTTATTCTGTGAAGTTTGGATTCAGTCTAAGGGCCGAACTTGAGGTCCCAGAGGGTCACATGTGGCTGCAGGTTCTGATCAAGTGTAACATCTTCACCTGTTTTATAATGTCCTCCACTTAGAAGAATTTTTCTACTGCAACATTTTCTATGGCTCTTTAGATTGAGAATTAAATATTAATCAATTATTTGATAAATATTTAAGGGTCTACTATGTGTCAATCACTATACTAGGTACTGGGATTAAAAAAAGAAAAGAAAAGAAACCTGTCCTTATGGAGCTTACATTCCATCACAGTTAAAATAATACAATTATATGTATTAATTATAATTATATACAATATATTATATATTACATATATGGAAGTATGTATGGATGGATGTCCTTCAATAGAGGAATGAAAGAATTTCCATCAATCTAGCTCTTTTAGGAGCTCCCTGAAGCAAAACAGTAAGATTAAAAGAGATGTCTGAATAATAACAAGATTGTGGTGAGGCATGCACCCTTTTTAAGGAGTAGGAATTAGCTTGGGAAGTTTTATAATTAAACACAATGTAGGGAAAGGAAACATCTGTTAATAAGAGGCCAGAAGGTGCCCTAAGTAATAGATTTGAACCAAGACAGAAGTAGAGGCTAAGCAAAATGCTGAGCTTCCAAGGAGGATGCTTTCCTACCTTGCCAAGAAACAAACAAAATCTTTGCTGAGAGAGAATGCTAAGGGGAAGCGAGCAGATGCCTTGCAGGAATCTGGGAGAGATCTCCTTCCAAAAGAGCAAAATCTGGACCTTCTTGGGAACTCAAGAAGGACTCCCTGTTAAACTTCTTATTAAAATGCAAAATGCAAATGATGAGAAGGGAAAAGAGAAAAAGATGGAGAGGTAAAGGGACTATTTCTGGGAAATTTTGATTCAGCTTAAGAACTATTTGAGAAAGAGAAGAGGTAGAGAAGGAATAATTCTAGTACTGATACATAAGATAATTTGAGCAGCAGCCTTGAACTTCCCCACTGAATTCATGGTGGTTTCTAATTTTTAAATTTTTTTCTTTTTGCTGCTGGGGTAAATCAATTAAGAGGAGAGTCAAGCCAAGTATACTACACCTTACCATCATGTCCTATTTATGGTACATTGCACCTGATCGGTGTAGTACTAAAAATGTGTCCTTATTCATAAGTAGAACTGAATACTGGCCTTCTTTTCAAAAAGTACAACCTGCAAGCCTCCTATATACACTGGATTGGGTATATGATTTTATATATAAATATAAATACTTTATATCTTTTTTTAACAATTGCCAAACACACAGCAGTATTTAATAACGGTCAAATTTTAAATGAATGAAACAAAATTTCTGCGACTGAGCTAAGTAGTGCTATGAAACCAGTTCTTTGAAAATCCAAACAATGCAATTTTTTTTTAAAAAGCAGACAAGCAAAAACCATCTTGAGGGAAAAAAAAAACAAGCCTCCTTCTTTCTTCCCCAAATCTAGACTAATTATAAGAATCTAGAATTTGTTTCTCAACATAATAAATACTAATAGGGTGATTGTGAAGATCAAATGAGACAACATGTGTGAAACACTTAGCATATGTGAAACACTTACTATATGCTTGTTCCCATCTCCTCTAGTCAAGAGTCTGGGCTGTTGTTTCTAGGTCTCTAAGATGGTTAACCAGTAGGTATTCACCCCTTGATGAACTTATGGAAAATATATCTCAAAAAAATCCACTTTTGAGCTTTGAAGATTCATCTTGAGGTTTAATCAAGTATTTATAACTTTGCCAACCAAAACCAACCCATTAAAATTCATTTAACATGCCTAATCAATCAATCAACAAGCCTTTATTAAGTGCCGGTTATCTGCCAGCTGCTGTGCAAGGCACTTGGGATATGGTAACAAAAATGAAGCAGGCTCTTCCTTACCTCAAGGTCTTTCCATTCTATCAAGGGACATGTACACATGAAAGTATGTACAAAGTACTTATACAAGGTAACTCAGTGGGGGCAGCATCAGCAGCCTCATGTAGGTAGACCGAAGTTGAAAATATATTACTAAAGAATCCAGTTCAAAATGATACCTCCCAAATATAACACAAAATGCTAATAAAATGCCATAATTAGAACTTTCCAACAGAGTAAGATAATCCAAATGTTTCCATATGGGACTTAGAAGAACAGTACTTTCTTTTGCATATGTTTACCTAGCTACAAGATAATTTTGAGCACCCAGGATGTGCCTATAAATCCAAGTAAGTAATTCTTTAAGTACCCAGTAAACTTTTATCATGATAATTTAGAAACAAGAAAAACAGAAAGTCAATATATCTTCCCCAGTAAAGGTTGGGAATTGAGGGGAACATTGATTATAGGAAGAATTACTTCACTTGTTCTTTTAGCATTGGCTTTGTAAGGACTATCTTTCATTGACCGTAGTACCTCAAACCTATTTAGGTACCCAGTTGGTTTCTTGGTTGAATTGAATGCTCTACCTCTACAGGAAAGCTCAGCATCTCTATAAAATTATTTATTGAAAGTAACTCAAAATTATTCATGCCAATTTCATAATATAGTTTGTAATATGGTAGTACTACACCTGTCTTTGTGATCTAAACTAATCAATATTTGGGAAACACCATTAAGTTTTCAAAATCTTAAACAGGACTTTTAAAACAAGAAAAAAAAATCTGTGCATAAGATTGATAATTGCTAGAATTAATATTATTTCTAAATCCAGAATCCTTAAAAATGAACCACTTTATAATTTCATTATATTTTCATATAAAGCAAAAGGTCCCATAAAGCCCACTAGGCTCAGATAAGAGAATGAGGGCTTGAAAAATTTCAGTTTGAAAGAGTCCAAATAATTGCAGAACTTAACATTTATCTCTACTTCAGCTCAAAGTCATCAGAACGACTTTTATATCAAAGCCTTTCAGTGAGTGATGAGAACAAGATTTGCCAACTGTTTAAAACTCATTAGGCCATGAAATAACTTTACCCTGCCAAGCCAGGACAGGAGAGCATCTACTGTTTTGGCATTATCTGTGTTATTTAGACCAGCCTTCTTTAGACATTTGGGTCAAGTTTCTAGAAATTTGTTGCTTGAATTTGCCTGAGGAATCAAGTATTCTATCTTCATAGCCTAATGTAGCTAATTGGCATCCATCTGTAACTTAGTACTCTTGGTGACAATTGTCCTTAACCTGGCCTGAGTTTAATCTAATTTATGTAAACCTTAGGCTAGCAATCCACCTGAATTTAAAGAAAATAGCAAGATATTCTTCTCTACTTAAATTGACCGTTATCAAAAAACAAGACTGTATTACATGGTAATGCTCAAATATAGACAAATTCCTTATTATTTTATCTTTTTACAAATGAAAGTAGATTGGCGAGAAATTATTCTATTCATTAAAGATAACTTTATTATTAATGTCTATCCTTTATCTAGATTTCTATTCTTATAATACTAATGGGATTTGTGAGAGAAAAGGGATATCCTACATTTCCCCAAATGATGTTATGGCAAAACAAATATAATAAAAGGATTTTTTTTTCAAATAGCATATTATTACAGTTCCCGTATTGTAAAATACTGACTTTGAAAATGATATTTCTATAAACACACACATATATTAAATACATAAGTCATTAAGTTAATTTGAATGAGAGATTATAGACTTTCACCATGACCTCTCCTTTATCTTAAAAGTATTCTATAACTTTAGGCTGTACTGTAGGGTCTAGAAATATTTCATATCCTAAGAAGCATTCCATATCATATCCTAAGATTCATTCCAAGAAGCAGAGATTTTTAAAAGGCATACTAAGTGGTAAAATGATCACAATATAATACATTTAATTGGTATGTGAGATTTATCAGAGTCAAATCATCTCTAAAAATCACCATAAAATGATTTTTTCCTTTATTGAATTAAAGTGTTTCTCCTACCAAATATTGCTTATTTTAATCTTTTAAAAGCATTTATTTCTTGAATAATGCCTTTAAATCTTTGTTCACTATATTGGAAAAAAGCATCTTCCACATTTATTTTTTGAGTAATCCCCCTCCCCTTGGTGCCAGAAAAACAATGATGTATAAGGTAGTAATAAGCACTATAGTATCGTAAAAACAAGGAATATTTATGAATGAAAGTAATTTTAGACTGTCCAAAATCTTCTTAGACATAAAAGTAATTATTTTATGAGAGTAAAATACAAAGACAGAATACATGGAAATAAATGATAAGAGAGACTGAATACACAAGGGTTGTATATTTTCCATCCAAGAAAACAAATGAAATTATTTATCTACATGTGAATTTACTTGTATGCAATCTATGAAATAGAAACTACTTGTATACAATGTGTAGTAGATAATATTTTTATACAGTCTTTTAAAGAAACTATTGTATGGTAGGATCTTTTTTTTAGGTGTATGCCTAATAAACTTATAATGAAAATTAGTGTCCTAATCATAAATGTAGGAATTCATGAACCTCATTTGCACCACTTGTGTTCATTTCATTTCTAAGCATTGAAAACTCACATTTTACAAGTAAAATAATGCTATTTCCATGTGTACTTAAGTTTAATAAGCGAGGATATTTGAATCCAATAAAATGTTTGAGTAAATGAAATGAACATCTAACATGTAATTGCAAAAACAATTTTTGCTAAAATGTAAATTAATCATGTTTAATATAGACATATATACACATAGATATGCATATGCATATACATATACAATCAGACACATATATATCTCTAGGCAAGTTGTCACCTCTACCTATGACTTTGGAAAATAACTTTGCACGTAAAGTTTCCTTAACATCTTTAATTAATGAACATAATGCAATTCTACTTACACTTGCATGGAGTTTTCCCTTTTTTGACATCGCTAAAAATTTGTTGCTGAAAACTCCTCGTATTCCTACAATCCCCTGAGACACAGCAAATATTTCCAAAACACCTAGGATGACAGAAATCCCAAAATAAAACACAGATTGTTTGATAATACTGTGAAGAATTCAATGTCTATGTTGTTTCTCTTTATATCTTCTTTGTAAAACCAAATCTACTTTCTTGTTTTGTTCAACATCAATTTTGAGAAAATTTGTTATCACCTTAAATGATTAATTGCAGGCTCCAAAGATATTTCATTAATCTCTTTTTTGTTATCAATACTCAAATGCTTTCTTGCAAGTACTGATCCACATTCACTAAATAGTATTCGATGATAATACCTTTTATATGGAAATTAAAGGAATTTTTTTTTCATTCGTATTCTCTAAAACCCAACACAGGGTTTTTGGCAAGAGTAATAATCCTCATTTCTATTAAATATATGGAATTCACTCTTTCAGTCAACTATAAAGAAATAAAAGCATTGAAAATATTTTATGTCTTTAAATTCAAATTTGACAAATCTTTACAATTAGAAAGCATATCTTCCACCTTAATTTATGAAAATGCATTATTATATAAATGCCTCCAGTGCATAAGGTAATATTTGTATTACAGGTATTTAGGAACTGTTGGCTCAATAAAATTAAGTTTAATTGAATAAAGTTTTTTATAGCTTGGGTTTTTTATGGAAATATAAAAATTTAATTGGAATTACTTAATTCATATTGTATATATCAGTCCAATATTATTAACGCTTTTTTTAAAGTCTCTGTTCCTTTATTTGGAAATTACATATCCACAGGGATTAAGGGAAAAAATCGTAGATGGCAGAAAATTGTAAGTGAAACAATTGTGATTTATCCCATAGATTTGCATTTTGAGAATCAATATTATGCTATAAAAAGAGGAGGTTAGAATATAGCTTTAATCTCACAGTCATATAAATATCAGAGAAAAAACGGGTGATATTGTGGGGAGAAATTACCCTGGTTTTCCATTTTCCACATTATCTGCATACTGGAGAAAGAGGGCAAAAGAAGCCTATTGTCCTCCCATCATGTTGTGGACCTAACAGCACTTTTAGAAAAACTGATACACAACACTCCACATTTATAAACTATGTATTAATGTGTGATCATACTTGTATCACAGAAGGATGCTCTATTTCACATTAGGGTTTCCCCAAAGAGTTCCTGAAAAATCCAATTCTTCCTGGCACGTGGGAAATACTTTTTCAAATTCTTCAATTTATACTCAACTTTTCAGAACTTTATCAGTTCTCGAGAGTGAGGTGCACCTAAATGCAGCACTATTGAGAGAAATCTCTCAGCTAAATTCCATTAGATTACCTGGCCAGGTGGCAATTTCCCCAAGCAAGTAGGATCATCTGAAGGACTTTTTGGGAAGAAAAAAAAACATTCTTAGCTGTGAGTGCACAGCTTTCATTAAGGAAAGCAATGACTAATTTAAAGATGTTCACTTTAAATTAACTCCTAAAGTAAATTCTAGAAAAAAAAGAAATGTTGTTTGCTGTTAGATTGTGAATAAATATACCAGTTACTAAATAAAGTATTGCCTTGTCAATTCCGATTTTCAATATATTTTAAATACCACTGCTCTTTAATAAGTCTTACAGGACAAACTATGTAACAAAGAAGCTGATCTAACAATAGGAAACTAACTATGAACTTATTTTAAGGTTGTTATTAATTTTGTTTATAAAAAACTCCCGGGAAAGGTTCTATAAGAGTAGTATTAATGCCTTTAGAAATGTACAAGTTTCTGTTGACTATGGATAACAGAGAGAAATAAAAAATGAAGAGAGAGAAAAATAGCAAAAAAAAACAAAAACAAAAACCCAAAAAACCACCCAAATATGGAGTGAGCATGGCAGGGCAGGAGGACAGATATTCTTTATGATATTTCCCCCTAATATTAGTTAGATCTTCACATTTGAAAGTTTCTTATTTGAATTTCAAGAAAACAAACCCAAATTCATCATTCAGATGACCCTGGAGCATTTAAAAATGAAGTGCACTATATCTGTAAACATTTCTGAGTGCTTGAGTGGAAATATACTAACAGAGAACAACAAAAGAAAATACTTATTGGAAGCACATTTCCCCTCAAAGTAAAAGTTTTAAGACTTTTAGTTAAAAGATAACATTGACTTATCTGAAGAGAAATGAACAGTCTGGCAATTGTATATTGTTGATTTTTGATATCAAATATAATGTTATTTACTCTCTTTGTCTGGCTTTTGAAAAAAACAAAAGTATTTTGACTCTTTTAACACTCATATCTGTTTCAGGGCTATGATCATTGAATTTTTTTTATGAGACAAACTGTATTTGAGGGATTTATTCCTGATAAATTCTTCTCCTGGGAAATTTAGACTTTTTTATCCTTAAAATGAGATTTACTTTAATAGAATACAATATTAAAATATATGCAACTGATTCTTCTACATTTACATTTCTTAATCTGAAAAGCGCAATCTATTTACACAAACTTTTCTAATTCACATAGGCATTACTATAGATCCAGGGCAGACTTTTTATACCTTATTTTAATATTATGGCAAACATTACAAAAAGGATGTTAAGGATAGTAAGTCCAAAGCAACTACAGCAGTGGTTTCATGGTAATTCATTTGTATTGGACATTGGACCAAATTTTGCATTTTGTTTCATCCCATACACTCCTAGGATTTTTCTGGAAAGCAACTGGTCTTTCATATTTACTGTGCCAAATCTCAATAGGTAAATTAGGCCTAGGATTGTGGTTGTGTGTATATGAATGCACATATCCATGGAAATGCTAAGTGCTACAGTTGGCTAATATATGTCATAAAGAAGTTAGTAACTATTTAGCCCTATTGTCCTTAGAAGCCTAGAAGCTTGAGTATTGAAATCACATTGTGCTAGCAATCATCTTATACCAACCAAAAGGACTAATCTTAAACAGAATGTGTGGTTAACATATTTGTTGAACAAAAATGGATCATTGAAAATTATAGCAAGTTCATATTCTTGACTCAGACTCCCACCCTTGTTTTTAGCTTCTTGCTTTCCTTCTCAGAAACCATCCTTCCATTCTCAATGTTCCCTCTCATCACAGAAGAAAACTATCTAAGATAATTTACCCTGAGGTTTCAGTGATTTAATATGCTGTACTTCCAGAATGTTTGCATTTTAAAAGGAGATCACAAGGAGGGAGAAATGCTAATTTCAAAGGAATACATCACTAACAGAAGAACTGTAATAACTATAACACCCAAGCATGGAAGATATTTTGAGGAAAGAGTACATCCTTGGTGCCTCCCAAGTGACAGGACACAGGCACCTATGTGCTCCACTGAAGCATAAGGCCAGCCCATTGTTCCAAGATAAATATACTCAATTAGGCATCATAATATAGCAAATGAGAATACTGAAAAGCAGCAAAAAAATTAGGAAAAGTAATGTTTTCTTGAGAATTTTTTTCCTGTGGGATATTAATGCCAGAGAAATATATCTGAGTTATAAAATCATATAGAATGTTCCTTTGTGTAGTTACACCAAGAGATCTAATAATGTAAACAATTACTTCCTCAGTTAATATTTATTTCTCTGGTCTGTAAAGCCTTGTATTGGAAGCTATTGCAAAGTGAAGAGCTGAAAAAATATAGGCCAAATTCAGGCACCAGACAGTTCTGGAAATCCTCAAACTGTCCCCCTGAATTGCCTTACATTGGCCAAATCCACCAGATAATCCTTTCTTGTTAGTTAAGCCAATTTAAGCCAAAAAAAGAACCTTTAAGGTTTTTACAGTATCCAGATGGCAGCCTACAGTGATTTTATCTAATATTCATAATCAAGAGATGGCATAGTCATTGAGTTTCAATTTCCTTCTCTGTGAAATGGGTAGCCCATACCTTCCAGGGGTATTGTGATGCCAGAGGAGATGCTCTATGTAAAGCACCTGGCTAACCTGAAAGCATTTGTTTCTTCCCAATGGTCAGTGCAGAGGCCAGCACAGAAAACTTAATATTTTTTAAAGAATCAGATTAATGAGATGGTTACCTAATTCTGCCTTCCCTTTGCACAAAGTAGACATGGCTTGTAATCCACTTTGGCTGGGAAGAACATAATCATGGCTGTTAATACAGAACAATCCAGTTCCATGCATATGTATGCCAGTACTTTAAATCAATGAAAAAGTAGCACTTTGGACAAAATCAAATGATGAAACTTTTCAATTTTCAGGCAAATGTTTTTGCTTCATTGAGATGTGGCCTTTGCCTATGCTGCAACTCGTCCAAAACTAGGTGATTCCCAGGAGAATTGCTATGACATTTCAAAAGCATTTGTATTCCAGCTATATTTGAAACACATAAGAAAAGGGGGGTGAGGTGAGGTGGGACCGGATGATACAGAAACCTTTACAGACCTACTAAATCAGTGAAGGAGACCTCTATTATCCCTACGTATTTCCAAACGATGAAGAATTTATGGGATTTAAAGTTGTTCATTTTATAAGTGAAGAGACTAAGACCCAGAGAAGGAAATAACATCTTCTGATTACTGATCCAGGACACTTCATTGAGACCACTGATATCCTGATAAGTATATCAGAGAGCCTAAAAATGTGTTACGCTCATAATTCTATACTAACCTGACACCCTATTCAAATTATTTCAAACTTGGTGGGAACTTAGTAGACCAGGTCTGGAGTCAGAGATCCTAAATTAGAATAAAAACTCTGCCACATCCTTTCTACTTTTATGACTTTAACCCCTCTTGCCTCAGTTTCCTCAACTATAAAAGGAGACCTCTAAATTCCTGCCCAAATCCAAGTCTAGGACCCTAAAATCTATCCTTTTGAACTGCAGAGCTCCAAAAATTTGAAAAGTTTCCCAAAGTAAAATAGTTTTGTAACATATGTCCACATTCCATCTGTTAAAATGTTAACATTTAAAATAACTCTTTTTCAACTTACACGAATGTTAGAATGACTTTGCATAGCAAAGCCTTATCTTTTCTCAAGGGGGAAATGTATAAAGTGAGCATATTTTGAATAGGT